CGTTTTGTAAGTTTTAATATTATTATTGTTGTACTCCTGTCTCTTGTTAATGTATGTCGAATCAGGGGGCAAGCGATAGTGATAATTCAGATTTAATAGATTTATCTAGTCCGAGTAGTGATACCTCTAGTGGGGAATTATACATACCACGCAAAGTTTTAAATAGGGAAAGGGACTATTTAGATCCAACAGGGGAGATTGTAGGTACATCTAGGTATCCATTACGAAGTCAGATTAGTTCAGAGCATCTAGCAGAAACAGAGCATCTTTTCAAACCAGAGCATCCATTCAAACCAGAGCATCCATTCAAGCCAGAGCATCGAATCAATCCAGAGCATCCACAGATTCCAGAACAGCAGCAGAACTTAAAAAGCATAGAACAATCAAACGCCATTTTAAACCAAGTTAGTGTGACACTGGATAAGGTGAATAAAACAATTGCGGAGTCAACGCGGATACTTCAAACAGAAAAAAAACCAACTTCAAATAAAGAAGTCGTTATGGCTAAACACATGTCTATAGAACAAGCGCTAAAATTAATCCCTATGTTCGACGGGGAAAATTCAGATTCAAATCACGCGTTCCAAAATTCCTGCGATTTTGCACTGCAGAATATTGACCCAAGTGAAAATGACAATTTCGTTAAAGGCATTACAACAAGACTTACTGGCAAAGCATATCGGGCAATACGGTACAAAGAAATTAAGAAATACGAAGATTTAAAAATAGTATTAAATTCATTGGTTGATAAAAAATTCACTTTGGCGCATTTACACTCAAAATTATCAATGTTCAAATTGGCGTATGGAGAAACTATACAACAATATGCAGATAGAGCAGAACAATTATTTTATGAAATTATGGAAGCGTCAATATCCACGGGAGGGTTAGATAACCCAGAGGGGATATCCAAGATTACAGCTATGCAGATCCTTACTGCATTCACAGAGGGACTTCCTCACGACACCAGAATAATAGTCAAGGCTAGAAAACCCAGTGATTTGAATGAAGCCGTCCAAATTGCTATCGAAGAAGAAACGTCACGCTTATCACAGAAAGAAATGCGTAAAAACAACAACCACCAGAAAGTGGATAATAAACACAAATCAAATCAAAATCATCCAGCATCATCTCACAGCAAATCAGTGGGTGCTTGTTTTCTCTGCGGTCGAACAAATCATCAAGCTCGTCAATGTCATGCATCCGAGGCAGATAAAATAAGATATAAAGAGTCGAATCAGAAAGGAAAAACACA